AAGTTAGCAGGCGGGTGGGGTAAGTTTAAATTTTCAAATGCATAAAATTTTCAAATTTTCAAATTTTCAGTGCATTTGAAAATACATTTCATAATAAAAATGGAACTATTGTGTATTTTTTTTTTCACTTTTAGTGTTAGCCGGACCACAGTACACCGCGAACTGCAGTTGGAAGGAATGCACCCGTACAAATTTGTACGGGTACAAACATTGCTCCCCAGAGATTACGTCCAACGGATGGAATATTCAAGGTGGCTGTTGGAAAAAATCGAGCGAAATCCGTTGTCTGCAGGTACATTTTGTGGACAGATGAAACCCTTTTACATGGGAGGGGTGCTTTAATGCCCACAATTCGCACCTGTGGAACGATGAGAATCCAATTGCGATTCGTCCACATGCAGCACAAGACCGCTGGTCAGTCAATCTATGGGCCGGCATTTGCGATGATTTTATTGTTGGGCCATACATTCTACCCGCTAGATTGGATGGAACAACATACAAAAATTTTCTGGAGCATGCTCTTCCGGATTTCTTGGAAGAAATTCCTTGCGAGGTTCGGATGAGTATGTATTTCCAGCATGATGGGGCGTCCGCCCATTATGCCGCAAATGTTCAGGCTTACTTAAATGAAATCTTTCGCGACAGGTGGAGTGGCCGCGGCGGTTCTGTACCGTGGCCCCCACGGTCTCCGGATATGATTCCGTTGGACTTTTTCTTCTGGGTACGTTCACTATCATTATCATTTTGTACTAACTTTAAAAATCTTTATTTACGCAGTTTGCTTTTTTCTTCATGTTTTCAGACTGCAGTATACCGACAACCCGTGACCACGAGGGATGAGGTGATAGCGCGCATCCGCAACGCTGTCGCGACAATATCACGCGACACGTTGCGGAAAGTGTAACAAAACATACTACGGCGCGCGGAGGCCTGCTTAGCAGTCAAGGGGGGGTACGTCGAGTCCATCCTGGCAACGATAACGTGACACCACCCGCTGCCGCGACTGACACCACGGCCCCCACAATCGGCCCGGTGAGGGAGGGGTTTTAGTGGGTATTGAGGTGCTATAAGCTCCTTCAAGTCCCACACTGTGTACGTAAATGTATTTCCCCTATGACAAAAAAAAAAGAAAAAAGAAAATATATATATATATATATAATGTATTCATTCGTCACTCAGTGACCGATTTGTTCACACGTAGGAAAAATAAATCGTTTCAAAATAATCCCCACCTTTCCCCGTGCAGCCGTATTGTTTTGGATTGTCTGGAAAGGTCAGGATCGGCACGATCCACTTCCGTCGAAGCAGGTTCTTTTGTGGATGAATGGGTAAGTCTACTTATCTTTTTCTAACATTAGTTAGAAAAATATATTTTTTTAAACAATTGATCCACCTGGAAACGTGCTGTTAAAAAAAAACCATTTTTTTCATAAATGATAAAACACTTTACTTCTAAACGAATTATTACTTTATTTGTTATTAATGAATAACCAATGATTTCACATTGTTGTTCATTTAAGATGATGCAACATTTATTGCACTCTTCCCTTGATACCTACGCTGTGCCAATGCAGTTGTTCACGCCCACGACCGAGCGCCGTTGAAAGTCAACGCTCCCGTGGCTCAGCTCGCGCCCGGCGCGCGTTCTGATTGTCCTGTGTTTTTTTTTAATAACTCAAAAACGAAGCTTCAAACGACATTTTGGTAAAGGAAAATGTTGTTCAGAATCACCCCAGCAACCTCCCGTTTCCGGGAGTTACACAAGTTACGGGACACCCTGTATTTAGATGCTGGCGAACATCGTCGATCAATTTCGTAAGCCCGGACGGTGTAGCTTTAGTTAAGCCTTTCATTTCGAGAATTGTATTCATGTGTCTCGAAATCAATATCCGTCGCTTTTCATACGAATCGACTAGTAACTGCAATGCGTTCTTATAATTTTCCGCACTCGTGCTGAAGAATACGACTTTATTTAACGCCTCGCCTCTGAGAGAATTCTTCAAGTATATGAACCTCTGCAAACTCGCACTGTACGCGCGTCGATCATAGTTATGTTCGTATTTTTGTACGAGAGCCACTTATCTAGATTCCCGTCGAATTTTGATAGTTCCGCGACCGGTAGTTCAGGGTGTGGCGCCCTTCCACCAAAGTAGTGTTTAAAACCGTATTACCGAGCGTATCGTTTGTTCGCCCTACCGATGTACCGGCGTCTTCCAATCCTTCAATCTTACCCGCGCATTCATAATATCGGTTCTGAATCTCTAACATCTCATCTAACCGGTCGTTAGTTGGATCAATAATCGTGAGCTCGTCGTGCAATTCTTCATACGCGGTTAGCATGTCGGTCACCCGAGTCAATCGTGATTTGAGAGTCAGTTTATCGTACCGACTAGACGCGACGCAGTTCACAAGCTGCGTGACCTGCGTTTTAAGCGTTGTTCGCCTTTGATTTATTAATCTAATTGTATCCATAATGAAAAAATTCTCTCGATCTAACGTTCGCAATAAACTAAACTAAAAACCGATTAAAAATGCAACCCTTAAAGCGAATAAGAATGAAAACTATCGTGTAAATTTAAGTTACGATTACATACACTTATGAATTATAGATTATGAATTACTTAACTTATGATGATGGACACCTGTCAGCAGTAGGCAGCAGCCGGGCGAGAGGTTCTCCGGGAGACGATGGTGATGGCTACCCTTGAACTCCTCGAAAATGTTCACGATCGCACTGGATGCGCAGAATAAAGCACTGTTGTGTCTCTATATATCACTGCACGTGTACGAATTGATAAATTGTGAAATAACTCCGATAAGAATCGAAAAATACTAATCCAGCTCTGTAACGTGTTTCCACGTCGAAAGTCAAGACAAGAATGAGCCCGTTGGCCGTTTGCAGCCCCTTTTATTTCAAAGGGCTTACCCCTGCAAAGGGGAAGCGTCTTGATTTCGAAGAATTTCGCACGGGAAAGAGAATGGCCTGACGGCTTGCACACGATCCGTTTTGAACGTTGCATTTACGTTGAGTCTTCTAATTTCCGATTATAGTTTCACCGATTTATCGCTCACTCCTCACAGGAGGCACCAAAAAATGTAGCGTCGAAACCTCTCCAACATGGAGAAATTCCGTATTTCAAATTAAGATAAGGAATAAGGTAGGTTAACAAATAAATTTAGCAATAATTGAGCCAGAAATAGTTGATTTTATTGGCTCTTAAAAAAGAAGGGGAACAGCCTTACGGCATAAAAACTACAAATTCACTAACGCATTCACGCCGCGTTGGTGAGTGAATGTGTGGCCAACTTCACTGTGACAAGTTTAATGCAACTCAAGGCACCTCGTTTGCTAAGCTTTAATATTTGATAAGCTTTAATATTTGCAATTTCCTTTTCTTTTTTCGTAGTGCTGCACTTGGCTTGGTTTGGTTTAAGGCCACATGCTTGGATTTATTTCCAAGCTCGATGCGTGGGTGCCGCATTCTTTGACAGAAAGGAGTAACTTCAACCGCATGGCTGTGGCCATTTCTCTCTTTGCGCGTAACGAAGTTTTGCAGCACCCACCATATTCTCCAGATTTGGCTCCTTCAGACTTTCATCTTTTCTGGTCTTTACAGAACAGTTTGAATGGAAAGATTCTCAATTTCGAGGAAGTTACCAAAACGTACCTCACGAACTTTTTTCAAGCAAAATCAAGATCTTTCTTCAAAGCTGGAATCGACAAGCTTGTAGATCGTTGGAAAACAATTGTAGAGAAGAATGGTGACTATATAATTGATTAATAAAACCGTATTCTTAAAAATTTAACCCATTGAACTTCATTTTTTAATCGGGCATGAACTTATGCAATTACCAAAAATTGTAGACTTTATTCGTCAACGGCTAAATCGAGAATGATTTGTTTTACATCTTTTGTTAATAACATTCGTTGTCATAGAAAGTTCTGGGATTGCAGGGACAGTCATATTAATATAGTGGCCCTCCCACCACTCTTACACTCTAACAACTGCAGTATGCTCGGTTTTGACGCACTGGCAATGCGGGGTGTTGTGTGTGTGGTTGATAATAATGGCAAATAGAAACACTGACTCGATTTCGCGGATTCTATAAGGTTAACTTTGCTCGAAGGGGACTCCAACCCGATCTCACTAACTAGCAACCAGCTGACGTTCGTACACGAAGTTCTCGACACAAGATGACTTTTGGTACTGACTGAAGAGATTTGGTACGAACGGGTTTATATACTAATGAGAAAGGGTGATCTGGTTACTATTTGGATAATCGGGCTGGGCCCGTCTGTTCGGTGATGTTTAGAGTGGGGTTGCATTTGCTGTGCGATTACAGTGGACCCATTGCTTTCTCCAAAACATTTGGTTCTGTTATCGCTGGGTCGCTGTTTATTTCAAGAGCAAGTGGTCTGTTTGCCTGAGGATTTTCCTTTCCAGATGTTAAAAGTTTATTTGAAAAGAGGCATGTTTGATAAAAACGATCTGCCTACGTGACTCTTCACAGAGGTACAGCCCTCTTGCTCTGTTTTAGCCAGTATTGGAATCTAAACCCGTGTCGGTAGGAAGCGACATTTCAGTAGTAACCTGTTTTTCACAGAATTGTGGGTCTTAACTTTCGAGTTTTTAAACATCTTTTCCGCCAATATTGTTTTTATTCTAAAAGGAATCTACTTGCAAAGCTTCAGCTACATCAGTGTGACAGGTTTTCGCAAATACAACCTAATATTTCACACACATATTTACAGTGAGCGTCAATATAAAGTTAACACTTGAAATTTTCAACTTCTCTTTAACATAATTTAAAAGGTATGAAAGCAAACAGGGAAAAGGTGTATGGCATTGAAAGCTCAATTTGTCTTCTATAAAAAAACATACATTTTTTTTAGTAATAAGTTAACAATAAGCAAATATATAATACAAAGAACAAAAAAAGTCTCTTTTCTTTCAGTCAATATAAAGTTAAGATCTATAGGTATTAATAACAATTTTTCCTTTTTTTTTTGTGAAATTAATATTTTATTGAACGTCCGCTATTTTTTACAACTTCGGTCAATCTATTTGACCAATGAAGATGTATAATTTACTGGAATTTGATTCCATTCTTCTAAAATGACTTTCTTGAGAGTTTCTTTCGACGTTATCTCTCTTTTTCGTATTTTTCGATCCAGATAATCCCATAGATTTTCTATGGGATTAAGGTCTGGGGATTGCGGAGGATGTTTTAATTGTTTTGGTGTCCTGTAAAGAAGCCATTCCTTTGCCATGCGTGATGTATGCTTCGGAATGTTGTCACTTTGAAATGTCCATGTTCTTGATAAATTTAATTTCGTAACGAAAGGCTCTAAGTTTCTCCGCAGTATTTCAACGTAATCCTCCTTTTTCATTGTATCTTCAATGAACACAAGATTTCCAACCCCGGAAGCAGCTATACACCCTCATATTTGACTGTATGGACTAACAAGGAAATTCCACGAAGCGCTAACTCGACTTTCAAATGAGCTTTAGTGCATTCGAAAAGGGAGGCCGATAGTACAAATCGTGTTAAGGGTTTTGAGTGTATGGGTCTTACTTGTTGAGAAAATTGCATAAATATCTATGCATTTTTTCAGCTGTAGTATAAATACAATGAGCGGTTGAATGTCAGCATGAAACGAAATAGCCGAGCAAGTTAAGTGCGCATGCAGCCACTATTTTGTAATCCATGCAAGCTCGGTTCAAGACAACATTCTGATACATTTTTTTTTTTTTTTTCTTTTTTTTTCCAAGCTGATTGTATTCATGAATTGATTTATTTCATTCTTTGCAGCGATAACAAACGATTTATTACGTGGTGTTATTTTTGTATGTAGTTTTATTAAGTTATTTGTTATAAAATTCTATCATGGCTGTGTAATGTTGCGGATGATATTTTACATAAAAGCAATTAAAGCATAAATAATTTGTACACCAGGAACAAGTTATGGATGAAAAGCGCATATTATAGATACATTTTTTGTTATGTATATCAGGTGGAAAACATAACTGATTTACATTATATAATATATCGCGTTCATTCCCCAACTTTGACGCGTACCAAGCGAATTTGATCATTTTGTTAAATTGTGGTGCAGATAATAAATAATGGATTAAAGATTGGATTCTTATAGCGTCATAACGTGTGTTCAACTCCTTCTTTTCTCCGTTAGCCATAATGTCTGAATAATTTTGAATCTGTTTAATCCAAATTTTATCCTGTCTATAAAAATAAACATCACAAGGTTGACAGATCGGAGTACACTTTGGCGGTATTATTTGTAAATTACATGTTGGTCGGTTTTCGCTATTTACAAAAATTTCATTACACTGTGACCCGTTATCGCGTGGGTGGACTCTATACAATGGCTGTAATATTTTCGAATCGCTGGGCGCCAGATACTCCCTGTGGCGATAAAAAGGGAAGAGGGAAAATCGGGGTGTTTCATAGGGGACGGGATACGCGGCTCGACCGCGGTCTGCCGTTACACGGTTCACGTGGGGGAGTGCGCAGGGAGGATCGTCTTGGGAAGGGAGGTTTCAGGGTCGGGAGAGGTTCGTAGGAAGTTCCGCACGTTTCGCGTTGGAGGAAAGATATGGAAGGGAATTTCGAAGGGAGGAAAAGGCGGTCGCGAACGCGGGGTACCGGACACGTACGGAAAAATACGCGGACGAGAAGTTGCCGTTACTAATCCCAGAAATACAATATTCGTAGTGATATAAGGGACTCACCGGTGCGTCGGCACTGCACGCTTACGTACTACCGTTCTCAATATCGCTCTCTAAATCGCTTTATACAGTGACTACAGATCTAACAAGACTAAACATGCCTTTGTTCTGGAAGGGTTGTGAATTTGTGCCTCGCCGTCCTAGTACAAAAATGTGAAACACTTCGCACTGCAACAGTCTACGGCACGTTGACGATAACGGAAAATTGCTTCGATACCAACGCCTCTAATAAAGTCGATAATGTATCCACAGGTTTGGAATAACGTACAACCAATTTTGTTGAATCGCAACGAGGCAGCCAAACGCCAAGTATAAATATTTTGCAAAAATATATATAACTCAATACTTGGCTGGTTTTGCATGATATCCATTACTTTTTTAGAAAATTTGCAAAATATGTACCATATAGTGTCTATATTGGCGTTACTTCTTCTTTTACATGTAATATACTTTTTGTGGGATATTACGACGTTTTCAGGGCCACACTGAAATGCATTGTGTATTAGTGCAAAGAGGTGCTCCGCTCATAATGCCTAAACTACTTGACGTTACCTTTTTTTTTTACATGTAATGTACTTTTTGTGGGTATAGGATTTATTCTTTCGGGACACTGTAACTTCCATGTTTCCTGTGAACGGAAATCAGTATACTTCTGCACAAGATAATGAAACATGTCCATGTGCGTGTCTTCTAACCATTCACCTTGCCTAATAATATTCTGCAACAGGACAGTGTCGTTCGTTGGCATAAAGAAACAAAGTACAGTGATGCTCGGCTAAATTTGACAGTAAGAGAATAGATGTAATAACGAGAGGAAGTGAGATGGTATAGGTACAGACGGTCACGAAAATATTCGGACACCACTATAGTTCTGACTATTATAGTCCGTACTTCAGAAATTTATGCAATAAGAACAAATAGAGGTTTCACATATGTTACTATGCATTGTGTATTTAACAAAAACATAAGAGATATTTATTTACGATAAATGATTACATAAATAATAAAAGAAAAATGAAAAGTACGCTCATTTTCATGTCACGAAAATATTCGGACACTATCAAAACTAAGTTTATAACACTATATATAAATCTTGTTTTTATAAATTAATATTTTGTTGGATATCGCATATGCTTTATGACGTGCCGTAATCGCATTGGCATATTACAAATTATTCTTTTTAAATAATCTTGCCCAATACGTAGCCACTCTTCTTGCAGACGTCTTTTTAGTTCGTCCTTTGTGTTTATGGGAGTTGTTCGAATTCGGCGATCTAATTTATCCCATAAATTTTCAATAGGATTCAAATCTGGCGATTACGGTGGTGGGTGGAGGACATTCTTGCAAGTGTATAATAAGAATTCTTGCACAATACGCGATTTGTGCTTTGGGTCGTTATCCTGATAAAATTTTATCCCACTTTGAAGTCCCATGTTATCAGCACTTTTTTTTAAATTGTTTTACAAAATGTGCAGATACCTATTTTTATCGAGGATGTCGTCGATAAAAACTAATTCACCTACTCCATGGGCCGAAATACAGATCCACCACCGTGTTTTACAGTCGGCTGCAAATGTCTCGGATTTAATTCTTCTCTCGATTTCCGCCATACCCTAATTCTTCATTTTCTGCAAATTTAATCTGAATGTTTTCGCGGATGGATTTTATTCATAATTACCCGCGTTATGTCTGATCATAGAAAACAAATTTTCTATTGGATCTTGTTGTAATCGCGACGTCATTAAATATGACGTATCCTCATCGCGAATGTCATGCCACAATTGTATCGTCGCGTTAATTGACAACTGCAAGCCTCTGAAGCACGGAGGACGTACCTGTTGATCCTTTTGAATCACAAACCAATTTGTTCATGCTGTTGCCTGTCTTATCAAATTCTCTTCCATTTGAGGATTTTTATTTGATAAGGCACACTTTTGCGGATTAGCATCATGCGCAGTTCGACTGTTTAAATTATCGAATAAATCATTCAACAGTCGAACAAAACATGCAGTATTCACAACAGTATCGTTTTGGATCTGTCCCTGCGTGCTGGCCGTTAACAAAGCTGCCGAAACTGTTCTACTTAAACACTTGCAAAGCGAGCCTACAATTCATTCGTTCAAATATGCTTTTCTGACAATTTTACAGCTGCCCTAGTGCTTTTCTTTCGTTCAAGGTCCCTGTTCGGGATTGGTGTTGATCCCAGAAGGATTGCGCTGAAATGATTAGACACTTGCTGGATTGGGTTTTACAAATTTGGTTTATTAATGTCACACAACAAAATTGTAACAATGATTTGTTACATCTGTCTTGAATTGAGCAGTGATTCGACAATGAATTGAACAATGCATGATCGCGAGAACACAGATTTGAATTGTCTTCGTGATGTGAACAATTGAATACACGAGCAATGAAATATAACATTGAATGATTTTACCATGAACTGTCGACGTTTTGTGATTCGGTTACAGAGTGCTAGCAGCGAGCAATAAGCGCCGTTAATTGTATAAATTCGGGCCGCTGCCTTTGATGATGCCCGAGAACATGTGCGTGGTCGACACGTGGTTGGCGGCTCGCGTGTACAATGAATTTGTTGTAATTGATCGATACCTTTCGCAATCCTGTTGTACTGCAAAGTTGCTGAGGATTCCTTGGATCGTTTTGAGCGTTTCGGATCGTCCATGCTACTGAATTGCACTTGAACTGTACTGAGGAGAATGAACTGATGAACACCTGTTTCACGGTGATCTCTAATGGCGTCGTAGCGCGTGAACCGACGAGGAGACCCATGCTCACGCGTTGACCTAGATGGGCGACTCCCAATCGATAAATCGATCGACCGTGAGCGCCATCATGGCTGAGCGGATTCTCAAACAGTTTCATAGAGATGATATATCTGACCATGAAACTAGAGAATCGTTAATCTTCAAATCATATTGCAATAAATTGTTGCGAATGTTTTTAAATATATGCAAATAATCATGAAGAAAATAAATTTTTATTGCAGTAAATTTTTGGAAGTATTGTCAAGGGTATTATTTGAAAGTATTTACAGTATTTACATAGGGTTGTGACATAAATATGTTTTAAATAAATCACGTACATACGTTTTGAGCCACCTGGGTTGGCCTATCAAAATCATGCCTCACACTTAATTCTCTTGCAACTGATAAATTCCGTAAATGATGCTCAATACCTTCTTTATCAATAATAGCGTTATGCAAGACGCAAATAGCTTTAACAATATCGTCTGTTACAGTTACAAAAGTTTCTATGGCTTTGCTTAAAATTCTCCATTTAGAGAAAATAATTCCGAAAGCGCAAAATTAATAATACCCGAATATACGATGCTGCCAATAACGATTTGATAGGTTGCTGACGCCTGAACTAGGATCTTTCTAGTAGAAGAAAGTTTTTAATTTTGCGCCGCCTCTGAAAAGGTTGAAATGTATTTAGTATACGATTTAACGAGTAAATAGGTTTTAATAATAGCTGTTTGCGAATTGCGTGGTCAGCGTCGTCAGAAATAACACGCCTGCGTAACGATCACAGATGTTTATTAACCAAATATGTACAACGAACAGTATTTACAATGCACGAAGGTGCATGAGGGGTGGTCAGATGGAATTGTATTATGTACACTAATTATTTACACTAAATGAATGAATATGCGAGGACTATAACAATAACGCACTGCGCGGTCTGAAATGATTGCGCGTCGCGTGTACAGGAAACTTGATCGAACTGCGAGAACTGCGAACACGTCGTTACACATCGAACGATCGATCGATCAAGAAGAAGGAAATCAATTATGGCGTCGTTCGTGCCGGTTCCGGCGTGGACAAAGTGGGCCCGAGAGGTGCTGCCGCTATCGGTAACGGCGCACCAACGAAGTATTTTCGTTGCCAACTTCGTCGTTCTGCGTAGACATAGGGAATTTCGCCAACAATAGCTGTTGGGTATTTGTATAAATGAAATAAAAATTATTTCATACTTTTGTGCATTTCGAAGTCGGTTGTATTTTTTGTTAAAAATTATTTTATAATCAGGAAAATTTCATGAATATGTTAATGAAATTGTCATTAAAAAAAAAAAAAAGATGAAAAATTAAAAACATTTCTTCACTGTATTAGTGTTGTCTTGCCGATACGAATGCGACACAGATCTTCAAACGGAATCCGCGCCGTATCTTATTGCCCCCGTGATTGCTCCGAGGATGACCCCTCCAGTGATGGGGATAAACTGCGAACACTTAACGGATAGATCCTTTCGAACACTTATGGAGTCCTTACTGTACTGAGATCGCCTTTTAATTTCAGGTAGGCGAAAATAAAAGAGGAGAATACACTGATTATGGAACGTAAACAAGGCCAGACTATCCGTAGTGAGGCGAGAAACATAATCCGACATATTATAAGAAAGTGCGATGAAGAATCACGTAAAAATGAAATGACTTATTTACTCCCGCAAGCGACTCTCCGTGCCTCGTATTATACTGGAGTATCCGTTAAAACTATTTGTCGGATCCGGAAAGAAGATGCAGAGTGTGACGAAAATGAACCGCTACCAACACCAGGAGCGAAACGCCCAAGAGGAGAAGATAAAAAATTTTATTGTTCGCTCGAGGACCAAGCAACGATTAGAAGTATTATTTACGATTTTTACGTGACGAAAAAAATTATGCCAACGGGGCCTAAATTGTTGACGGCCATCCGTCAACTGATCGATTTTCCATGGGAATTACATAGTCTTTATAGATTACTCAGGCGTATGGGCTTTGAGTGGAGAAAGTCATCTAATAGTATTAAAAGAGTATTGGTTGAAAGGCCGAGTATCGTAGCCTGTAGATCTAAATATCTGAAAGCCATAGAATATTATCGAAAGCAAAACAGACCTATAATTTACATCGATGAAACATGGGTCGATGATTTATGTTTTCATAAGTGTTTGCACAGTAAAGAGACGTTAGAAATGGTAAATACCACCAGTTCATCGGAGAGGTTAGTTGTTGTTCACGCCGGATGGAAGGAAGGTTTTATCAAAGGGGCGGAATTAATCTTCAAAACCCATATAACAACTGGCGATCCCGAGGGACTTATGACTGCGGAAAATTTCGAAAAATGGATCGTTGAAAAATTATTACCGAATATTCCGCCAAAGTCTATTGTGGTTATGGACAACGTTCCCTACCATTCAGCTCAACTGAACAAACCACCCACAAAATATTCCAAGAAAGCAGATATGGTTCGTTGGTTGGTGGAAAATAATATCCCCCACACACAAGATATGAGAAAATACCAGTTGCTTGAACTGATAGAAAAAAGCAAGAAATGTAGGAAAACTTTTAAAGTCGACGAAATGCTGAAACTACACAATCACAATGCGTTACGATTACCACCGTATATGTATTATGAACTAAATCCTATTGATTTAGCTTGGACCCAAATAAAAAGAAAATTACGTGAAAAGAATCTGTTCGTTTTGTCAAGCGATGATCTGGAAACGTTTACCGTCGAGGCAATCAACGAAGTGACACAAACTGACTGGCAAAATTTCTGCGAACATATAGAGAAACTTGAGGAAGAGTATTGGCAGAAAGATGGATTAGTAGAGGACATTACAGATAGTTTAGAATTACAACCTGGTGGCTCAGACGACAGTGATTCTGACGAGAGCACAGATTTTGAAGATTAATCAGGTAAGAAAATATGTAATCTACGCGTGCTTTTGAAAATTTCAGATACAGTGGCGGATAAATTTTCTTAAAATTGGATCAAATGACTACCAAAGGTCACGATTAGTTACGTTCTTAGGTGAAAAATCATGATTTTCGCTAATTTCAATTGCTTGATAGATCGCGATGAAATTTTCAGCACGTATATAACTTATTTGTATTTACAAAAGGTATATTTTACATTTTCATTACAGGCTCAGGTAAGAAATTTACTTTGCACTTTTGTCCGCCACTGTAGGTACCGTCAGCGTCTACAGAGTTGATACTCGGAAGGAATACGGATCTGATTGGTCATACACCAGCTAAGCTTACACGTATTTTCCGCCATTTACTTACTAATTAGGCTTGTGTAAAAATAAAGAGCCGATCGGTGGATGTGAAGGATCGCCTTGCCGTCCCAAGTTTCAACTTAGCAGACTCAAACGATATACATACAGGGTGTTCCAGAATGAGTGTAAGCCGCTTAAAGAGCTAGTAACTAGGGTGATTCTGAACAACAGAATCCTTTGTGAATTATTAAGGAAAAACATTGACCAATCGGAGCGCGCATAGCGCGCGGGCTCAGGTACGACGGTGTCGGCTACAAAAACTGGACTTGTCCTAGGTCCCGAACGAACACTTTCGGCACCCTGCCGGAAATGCTGTTTAGAATCACCACAGCCACCACCACTTCAAGCGGCTCACACTCATTCTGGGACACCCTGTATATATAGAATTTATTTTTATAAAAATGAAAATTATTTTTAACAGGACTGTTTAAGGAATACAATTTTACGGCTCAAATGAACTATTTAATTTCTTTTATATTATTAAATTTTATTATGCATTGCGTTTATATATAAAAATAATGTATACATATATATATATGTTAAGTTATTTACTTTGGTATGGATGACTCTTTAACCGGGAAATTCATTAGGTTATGAAGTGTATTAGTTGGTGGTCAAATCAGTGTCGTTAACAACATTATGAGCCGTAGAATTTAAATGCCGAGACGAACCGGCACATCGCTAACATGCAGATAGACTCCGGTGTCCGTAAGAGGGAGTGAAGACAACATAAAAGTGAGAGAGAGAGAGAGAGAGTAATATTCGGGATATCCCTTTCTTTTTCTTTCTAATGGATGTTCTAGTGAAGGAAGAAAAGATAAAAGAGCAGGGGAGAGCTTGCTGTCGTGGATGGTAGATGTCGGATGACGACTTGCATTTGTTTGGTAGTATCGCGCAATATCACGTACACATGAATATTAGAAGAAAAAAGTTTTGAAAATGGTGACAGTTTGCTGTATGTATAAATTTGAAGGTGAAATGATTCCGGATGCTTCTCTTCATACGTAAGTAGTGTAACAATGTTATATCTTTCTTTATGTAAGACATAAACTTTTAATTTCTGGTTATGTACCAGAATTTATTTTTACCGTATGTATTGTGACCCTTTTTTGGGGTTCACTTTATACAATATCTGGAAGTCTATATAATTCGTTGGGCGCCAACCACGTTCGCGTGGCGATTTGGGAAAAAGGGAAATTGGGGTTTTTATACAATAGCTGGGACTCGCGGCTCGACCTCGGTCGGCCGTCACACACTTCGCAGGGGAGTACGCGGAGATGGGAAACTCGAGGGTGGGGAATCTCGGGGTGGAAGGTTTTAAGGAGGTTCGCACGTTACGCAGTCGAGAAGGGGTCAAAGTAGGGGGAATCTTTAAGGGTGGGAGAAAAGGATGGTACGTAATATCGCGATTTACAATTACGCGGACGTAGAAGGTGGTCGCTGCCGGACTCAGAATTCACAATTATTAGAATCTTAGGGACTCACTCACCAACGTTGCAGCACACTCGTACACACACACTTAACTGGATCCTACTCAAGCTCTTTCTCAATACGCTTCTCTTAAATCTCTCAAAATCGCTCTTTACAATACTCGCTTTCACACGCTAAATGCTCATTGCTCGCTCGTCACCGTTGCGGCGACGGCGAGTCCTTCGCAAGGAATTTTAGGGAGGACTGGTTCTTCTTCTATGTTGGGCGCTAATTGGGCGAGGGATCTATCGATTGGGGATTGGCCAGGGATCGGGATCGATAGGGCTGACGGAGGTTCGGCGATGCTGGCTGCCGGCTGAGGTTCCCCCCGAAGTCAGCATTTTGCGACATTTTTTTGAGTTTTTGATTTTTCATGCCTAAGATTTACAACTAAAAAATCTGAAAAAATTCACAGACATAAAAAAGCATGTCTAGAATATTCTAGAATTTTATCAGATATTTTGCATAATGTTAAATAGGAGAAATATGGCAAAAACGGTCATTTCTATCTGACCCTATAACAACCCTCCCGGTTGAGATACAGGGTTGAAACTTGGTGTACCATGGTTTTTTGGGATAAGCTATCGAATGGTGCATTGCTAAGTAAAATCGGCTCAAGAGCACTTTTGACTATCTTATCTTGCTATACCCTTTCTAAACATATTTCTTTCTTCTTTTTCTTTTCTTTTTTTTATACCAATAAAGGAAAAGTTTCGCACATAGTAAATTGTATTTAACTGTTTAAAGAACGCGCTAATTTAAAGGAGATTATTTTATGATTACCCATAAAGTTTTGTCCAAACAAAATCGAAACAATACACTAGAAAGAAGAAAGATGAACGATTTTTAACTCTATTTATAATTTACACAGCCTCCACGAGCACATATGTATTTGAAATTTTTTCACAGTGACCGCAAAATTTATTTCTAATGGTCGTTTATAATGTAAAGCTGGAACGATTAAATGCATCTACGTCATGTTTTCCGAATTAGAGTTTAATTATTAAATGACATTGTTAAACGTTTTTTACACCCTTCATAAACATTTATAATTAAATTCTTTTTCTCATCGCAATAAAATCTTGTTTTTTAATTATAAAAACTTTCGTTGGTTACGTGAAAAATTGTAGAGCAATGGATATAACGAAAAATTTCGAGATTCCAACGATAAGAATACATTATTTCTATTTTGCAGAATCCATCGTACAAATTGATTCTAATATATAAATAAATAAATTATTAAAGAGTCATTTTTATGCGATATTATGTAAAGTAACACAAATTAGATAAGAAATAAATAGGAAGTAATAAGAAGAAAATTATCGTAAAATTGTACTTTAATTAACAATCATACCGATCCATGTGGTGGGGTGTTTTAGTGTGATTTTAAAGTCAACGACGACGATGATACAGGTCACAAAGGCGGTACTTTTATTTGAGTAACATCTTTCCGTAACCCAAGTCTTGTTTATTTTACGTTTTATATAGACTATTTAAATATAAATCGTTAAACTAGTAAGCCTAATAAAGTCATCATTAATTCAAGAACAATAAATTATTCATTAAGCAGAATGGAGTACAAAAGGATCAAGATCGTGTATGATATGTGTGTCGATTAATGCACTCGAACCAGAGCCAGAAGCGTTGATCGGAAAGTTACCTGGTTATGCGATTACCACCGGAATACAACAACTAAATTCGACCAGATGCCGAAAGGAAATGAAGGAATACCGTGATGCAGTGAATCATCGTGTATTGTGAAGTCTGAAAAGTTAGTAGTGCCCATTCTGACCCCCCTGTTTAGTTGGTTATGCCACCTTTCCTTTTCGTTTTCGTATCAATGCTTCTTCGTCAGCTGAAACAACTGTTTCCGTATTCAACATTGCGGATTGCAGTAAGAAATGGAACGTTGTTATTTTCAAGTGCTGGATATAAGCGGACAGCCGTCGTCTGGATTCGTCTTCGGTACCAACTACTGGACGGGAAACAGGCAACGGTGCACTCAACTTAGTCAGAAGCGATTTTTACTAATATCAGACAAGCATACAAGAAACAATTCCATCTATCGTAATCCACCTGAAGAGTTCCCACCATTTGAACTGAACTTCTTTAGCGCTCATGTCCGCACTATAATAGCACTATATGTACAATATCTCGTGAAGGTAAGCATATGAATCCTTTGCGATATCATCATCACTCTATCGCAATTTCATCATTTTCGCAGGACATAATAGCGCTCGGACTTTGTCTACCTGCGTCCTGCGGCGAAAACGAAGTAGGCACAATACTAACGAAAATGTTCGACGATAGACTTCTTCTAATCGGTCAACTCTATTCGACAGACTTTAAGTTGATCAGAATCTTCAACTTGAAAGACGATCATACGTGGCTTCTCAGCGGGAAGATGATAACCATCCTGTATGTAAACGCGATAAGAGGTCGACGGGTTCTATTTGAAATAATTAAATACTGATGGGGTAATCAATTTTCTGCTCTTAGTTTTATTTTCACTTCATTATTTTAATGTATATTTATTTTCACTTTAGTGGGCACGTTATACGATATCTTCGTTTACCAGAGGTGTTTGTATAGAAACAAATTGTTTCCTAAAAAGAATCTCAACACTATTGGTAAGCTTGGAATAATTATTTTGAACTGATACGCCATAATGCTATTTTAAGAAATGACTAATAATTTCAAAAAATGGAATTTAATGCAGAAGAGAAAGGAAATCCGTCAGAGATGAAGTTTTGTATGCTTCTCAGCCTATTCCAATATCAAAAAGATATTCAGTGTAGAAGACACCAGTTCAGGAAATATGCTACTATTTCATGGATTAAAATTCTTTGGAATGATATGAATCATTTTTGCATATTCGTTGTTCTACGTGACAAATGTTCTAAGTATGGCAATCGTTAGTGGAAATAAATGAGATACTCATAAATTAAAAATTTATTACAAACTAATAATTTATTACAGTTCATAATCCGTTTTTTCCCTTCAATTTCATTAGTTTTTCATTTTTTCTTTTTTGCTTAATAAGCATACTCAGGAAGTTTTGATTTCTACAGATAACAGAATTGAAGAGCTCATAGTGTCTGCTAATTTTGAAAGCCAAATTATTCTAACGCGACATTTGCTGTAGACACTTTCTTCTTCATCAGCGGTTTTCTGTTATTATTTGCATATCTAAAGGGGCAAATAAAAGGAGGAAGAGTAGTGTCGTTACGCAAAAATGTGATAATTTTTATCGTGGCAGTCATCAGAAGATACATCAGGTATGGCAAATATTATACGAAGGCTATAAATATAATATACGGAGTCGTATATCACTACGCTTTATTTATAAGAAATTTTCTATCAAATTCAGAAGGCTAACACTTGTATACTTGATTACAATACTGTACGAGATCATGTACTTCTCTTGGTACGAAAAGATCTCGCTGTACTATTTCGACGAGCCTATGCATGAACTATGCTCGAAATACTGGTGGAGAAACATCCTTTAAATCAATAATTTCTTCAAACGAAGCCACATGGTATGTATAATTTTATTGAAAATATAAAATATAAATAAATATACTTAATGAAGGAACTGTCCAAATGAAAGAATTGTATCAGTGCATGACCCCCAGTATCTTTCCAATGATATGCAGTTCTATATTTTTGGTCTCTTTCTGCGGATCTTATCGATCAGGCAAGTGGATAATGTATGTCTCGTAGGTTGGACGCACAATATGAAACATTAACTTACACATGCTTACGACCATGGGTGAGAATACAACCGCATATAGTAGGCATATAGTAGAGGTGGAAACGGCTGTGGTTCTTACAAAACTGAATTTTAAATTGCACCTATCGAGAGTAATTAATCACTTCTAGTTAATCTTTATTATCCCATTGTCATCGTTAGACGTTCCTATACGGAGTATTCTTTTGTCTA